TTCGTGCTGAAGCATGGCTCTCCCACACTTAAGTTTATCATATAACAAAACCTAACACTCAACTGTTACAACCTTCATAAAAATTTAAACCCAAAATACCGATTCCTTTGTTAAAATTATACTTGACCAGAGTATAAAAATGCTGTCCATATTCTAGCGACATTTTACACAAAGAACAGAATGTCCGCAATACATATTCTACAAACCGGACTCATTTGTCGACCGGGACAAATTCTAACCCCTAAATATTTTATGTCCTCGTGCTTACACATAAAAACCTAGTCGTAAACGACAAAGATTAATTTGTCCCCGTATGTACTGGGTAGGAACAATATTCTTGTTACTTTTATTGTACATTGTACACAAGACTGTTTCTGGGTTTTAAAAAGTTCCATTACTTTATGGCTTATACTGTATTGCTGTTGCCCGCGATTTTGTCCGCGTAGAATATGATTCCTGTTTCATCCCATGGGAGCATTTAATCGGGATAAAACGTACCCTATCACCTAAGTCAGCCCTAATACTCTGTCTGTATATAAATTTCATCAAAATCCGTTCAGTAGTTTCAGCGTGATTGACGGATAAACATACAAACAACGAAACTTTCAACATCTATAATATTAAAAAAAAAAAAAAATATTTCAGTTGTAGCACGGAGTCTGAAATTGTGCCCGGTATATGGCAATAAGCTCACTTTCTATTACATAGAACTCATAACATAAATAGTGAAAAGTGGGTGTTACATTGTGCAATGGCGTTAAGTGCCGTGATGTGCATATCTGCCTACACCTTTGTGCGCGATGTTATGATGTTATGTTATGCAATGAGAAAATTCAAAAATTATCATTATGGATGTCAACCAGTTGCCTCGCAACTGTCGCGGGTTCGATTCCCGCACGTAACAACTTTTTGTGTGATACACAGATTGTTGTTCCGAGTCTGGATGTCATGCGTATGTGAACTTGTATGTTTGTAAACGCACCCACGACACAGGAGAAACGATGTGAGCCACGATTAAAAAAAGTACAAAAAATTTAGCGTCGATCCATTGGAATTTATGGTACTAGGACCTAGTTTAGTATTTGTAGAAAAATCTTAAGGCATACAATGTAGACTTCGTCTTTACTTCAACAAAAACTAATTGTTTGTTAAAACTTTCCTGTAAAAGAATTTCAACCTTAAGTGTTTTGAAGTCAAGTAATAAATCCCGTGCCATTAATTGTGAGGTCTGTTCGCGAACGAAACCATTAAATATTGTGGTGAATAGTCCCGTGAAACGCCCACAAGAGAACGGTGAGCAAATTAAATCGGTCTTATTGCATTCAGCTGCAGTTCCATTCATTCATTCATACATTCATTCAATGAACAATTTATTACTTAACTTAGCGACTTATGAATTTATACTGTGCAAAGCTTATTTTAATAATGTACTTTATAAATGCAATTTTTGCTAGAGATTTTCAAGTTCAATCTGTTCCTATAGAAAAATATCGTTTAGTTTTGAAGATTTTAAAAGAATTTATTACATAAATAAACAGAACAAATGTTTACATTTTTAATCGATAAATTACGTGAAACAGACCATTATTCACCTTTTTAAAACATTCAAATTCATAGTACATCAAAATGAAAGTTTGCTACGCAGCGCTACGACGTGCTACGAGTTTTAATCGCGTAGCCGTTCAAGCGTAGCACGTAGCACGATCTACGAAAAGACAATCTTTGACTTACATTACACGCTTCCCAAATTTATGTAAAATAGTAGATAAAGTTCAACATTTGGAATTAACCTTATTAAAAACTCGCTGAATTCACTGAAAATTATGAATTTTAAGCTTCGTTCGTTCACCTGCATTCTGAATAAAAACATGTCGGTTGCTCTTTCGGAGGCTCTTTTTTGGACAAAAAAATATTGAAAATTTTTCACGCAGCCTTCAGCACCGTTGCATGCGACAACAATCAGAACTCGCAAAGGTAAAAAAAGAACAATTTCATCGTTGATCACGGTGACGGGTGTAAAAACCGGCATTCCACCGATTTTACGGTTCACTTGATGAGGGACCGCTTTATTGACATTAAAGGTTTATAGAGTGCCAGATTCCAATTTAGTGCCGCGCGACCGTTTCGTGCCGATAAACTTTGACGGTTTTTTCATCATCCATCGGGTTGTGACGCGTTAATTGTTTATTTTATTTTAAAACGACAACAGCCATCCCTATTTATTTACTCGCCAGACGAAGTGGGTCCCATTTTAAAATTGTTTATTGTAGCTTTTTGTTCAAGCGTTCATATAAAGACCTGACGGAGGATTTTATGTTCACATAATATTTACATAAACTTATCTCGCAGGGATAGACAGAGACAAAACCTTAAAATACCATTTTACCATAACATTCACGTATTTTATAATCTATGTAGTTCTCCTCATATTTCAAAGTAAAACAAAAAAGAAATAAACATAGAAAGAACACGAATAAAGCAGTACCTATATAATATTTTAATTACAACGAAATGTATCCTACCCAAATATTATTTAAAAACTCGGCCAACCGAATTTCACTTCAACGAAATTTCACAAATTCCCACGAAGAGCACATATTTAAATAATACAAAAGAGTTTGAATTTAAAACTTTTTTGTTTTAAAAAGGCTGCTGGAACTATTCCCGCGACTACGGACGGACAATGTAGGGTATTTAAATCTCGCCAGGGAGGTACCATTAAAAAGTACTAAAACAGAAATCAACGGCGAGCGATAAAAACAAACCCTCTTTGCTCGTTCCAGAATGTAACTCGAGGCATAAGAAATAGCGAGATACGTCCGTTATATTGTTATATTTGTGATTTTTTTCTATGCGATAATCCGGTAAACGGGCAGAAAGATCACATGATGGTAAGCAATCGGCGTCGCCCATGGACACATGAAACACCAGAGGTGTTTTAAGTGCGTTACCGGTCTTCTGGAGATTAGGCATTTGAGGCAGAAAGATCACGTCATGATGGTAAGCAATCGGCGTCACCCATGGACACATGAAACACTAGAGGTGTTTTAAGTGCGTTACCGGTCTTCTGGAGATAAGGCATTTGAGGATTGTGCGCAATTGCTGGATTAGGAAGATTGGGGAAGAGGACAGGGGTAATTGGACGTCCGGTAACCTCACTCACACGACGAAACACAACGCAAACGTTGTTTCATGTAGGTTTTCTGCTTGGCCGTGGTATCACTCCGGTCAAGCTGGCCCTTTCGTGTCGAAGCATGGCTCTCCCACACTTATTACTACTACTTTATTTAGATATCTACTTCTCAATTAGTAGTTTAATAATATTTTAAACTTGAACTAATTATATAAGGCCCAATTACCCTCCTCTTTCCCAATCTCCTCAATTCCTGAATCCCTAATGATCCTCAAACTCCTAATCTCCAAAAGGCCGGTAACGCACTTGTAATGCCTCTGGCGTTCCAGGTGTCCATGGGCGACGCTGATTGCTTACCATCAGGTGATCCTCGGTTACCGGCTTATGCCATAAAAAAAAATAAGTTTTAACTGAAGCAAGCAGCTTATTTGATTAGGCTATATTATTTTCATACTGCGTAGTTTGAGATCTAATATTCATAATACCTGTATCATGATATTGAAATAAAATTGTTAAGAATATTGTCACCTCTTTAATTTAAAAAATGTAAATGTTTTCTTTTTTCCTTTTATACTACAATCTGTCGGCTTCATTAGGACATTAAACAGTGTATTGGACGTTACTATAATTAGTATTTTAAAATGCCCTGTTATATTTATTACAATAGAAAATTATAAGCATTATGAAAACATTAATTGTCTGTGTCGTATATCAATTATTTTAGCAACAAAATTTAACTATGTACTTCGCTATCGCACAACTTTTACACCACACCACCCTGGGAATTGTGTCAAATTCCGTGCGGATGTAATCATTGAGAATTATAAGCTGGCCATGACGCCCAGCCTATTTGCCCGCCTGGCCGGTAGCCGCTTTCACAGATTGTTTGCTCCAATTGCCCGACACGATGGCAATACTGTTAAGGGGGTAACGTTAAACGGTTATAGGGATTGTCCATCTCATATAAAGATGGGGGTAAAGGTAGATGTTTTGAATATTGTCATAAAACTTCCTTTATGGCCTTATGACAGCGATTTTAGGTTGATATTAAGTTTTTCAAAACAAATACAAATGATACAATCGACGTGATCAATTAAAATTTTAGTTACCAACCCGATATATGCAGCAGGCATGAAATTAGGTGGCAAAGCGATTAAATGCCGATTAAAAATATAACACAAATATAATACTATAACTGTTATAATCCTTATTAACTCGTCGAGTACCGGCATTATAGACACAATTATAGAACAATAGGTTGCGGTCACCGGTGACCGCTTGGTGTTTAACAGTTTAATCAATAAAATGAATATTATAATCAGTATTATATTATTTTTCTACAAGCAGCTTTTATGTAAACATCCTGTCGTGTTACGTGGTACTGATATCGACACATAATCATACATACATAATCATACACACATAATCATATATCTATAACAGGAAATTAATAAATTCCTTGTTAATTTGAGCAGGAAATTCCAGATGCAACAATCAAATTAGTGTTTCCTTGTGTCGGAACGCAAAAGGCTTGCCTGCGAGCGGGAGTCTCGTCACCTTTTTCTCTCATAAAACGTCAGCAAGGAATTTGTCTACATTTGATATGTGTCTCGTCCCAATATCAGGGATTTATATGAACGACGAAGAAAGAAAAAGGGTCTAAAACTGTCATTTTACGAGAACAGACATAAAAAGTTCAACATCTAGTGATTTTTATTGCAAAGATATTTGTTATTTGTTAAAGAAACCGTAGAAATCTTTATCTTCACGTATTTGTTTAGTAAGCGATCTTAATTTTGCATCTTATATTTTTTCTTAACTTTGTTTCGGAGATGTGAACAAAAATAATGGTTTTATTTTCACTTACCAGCTTTACAAGGATCCATTCCAAGATCTCCAGAGTCCTTGTGTTCAAAATGAGTAGATAACAATTCTTCTATGGTGAACTTGTGTGGTTCTTGCCTCCCCTCTACCGAGCTTACTTCAAACGTAGCACACACTACAATCGTCAGAAACGCGCTGACCGCCGCAGCGGACGCACGCTTACACCGAAAAGTCATTACGTTAAGCATTTTCATTTACACTTAGTTGAACACTATGTCATATTCTTATTAATTTGTGAGTATATCTGAAACAAAGAAAGGTTAATATTAAAATCGAATTCTATTAACAAACTTAATCAAAATAGTTCTGATAGACTGTCAAATTATAAAATATTGCAAATGAATAAAGGATTGAATGGTAAATAAATTAAATTACATTCGTTATTAAATATTTCATTTACAATCAAAGGGTTTACGCTTTAGATTATATCAAATAAGGTGCTATTGAAAGACTGATTAAATAGATGAAACGAAAGCTTTATTTCTGTTTCTAAATCGAAATAAACACGAAGATCTTGTTGGAAACTTGATAATATTAGTTAAGAATTGAGTAATATTTTATATTTTAAGTAACATTTGACGACATATACCTGCGATGACATTTTGAGCAAATTGTTATTGGCAAATCTTTAAGGGATTGTAAACAATCAAATGATGCGTTACGAATCATAAAATGAGTTAATTTGACAATATGCTAGACTATACAGAGTAAACAGGCACAATTAACCAACTTTTGTAAATAATTGTATGATATGCAAAGACTTGTATGCGAGAATGTTTTTCAAATGAAAACGCCAGTTTCGTTTTTCACTCAGACTTTTTAAATTATCCCCTTTTATCTAGACGCCATTGGGGAAACTTTTACCACAAAACTGAAAATAAAAACTTGTGTCATAAATCTAAACTTACTCCAGGGTATACAAAATGTATGATTTAGGTAAAACACAATTAGGGATAAGTAATGTGCGTGAATGTACCAGTTTTTGTCTGTCTAGAACTTGATTCATCATCCAAGAACATTTTATTTTTTGTTTTACTACTTGTGACAGAAATATTTTGTGTTACTCGTGTAACTAATAAATATTTAAGTAACTAGAGACAAACGTAGATAAGTATCTAATGTAAGGCAATAAATAAGTATGTAATAATCTATAAGAAGTTCTAGAATTAAACCCGTGGTAATTGCAGACACTATTTATTTTTGTTGTGTGTGATTGCGATAGTTAAACTGTGATTTCTATACGATTGTATAATCAAAGAGTAGATTCATAAACGTTTAATCCTTCCTTCTTTAAAATGCCACTAGACAAGTATGTCAAGGGCATAAATCTCTTTAGATTCGGCTACTTTTTGTGTCAGTTTCAATAGCACAGTCTCTGATATCAATATAGTCTACATGCAATAAAACCTTGGAATATAGTAACACCAATATTTGAACAGTTATAATATAACAATTGACTCAGTTTTTTAAATGCACATAAAATCATGCCTATTTTTTCTCAAAATTAAAAAAATGTCCCCATAGATAAAACCTGCAAGGAAAATCCCCATAGATAAAGGTCTATACAGGTAAAAAATACTTTCAATTGCAACTTTCTACCATCAAGAGTATTATATTAGCTTAGCCTAATTGTCCTGCAACAAAACTTCATTACAATCAGGCCACCAGTTTAAGCTCATACACGTAATAAAAAGTGTTTACAAATAATACCTATTATACAGTTAAATCTAGGACTTGGAAATAGACTAAATAAACCTTTAACGAAGTAAAATGTTTCTACATTAAACTGTACGGAAACAAAGCGATACTGTGCCGCAAGACAGCGCTCACCATTAGTGGAACTAACCACTGATACTTGCTTTGCAAATATTTGTTTTTGTAGTCTGCATTTACTCTGGTTCCTGTGATAGGGAGCTGAGCTCTGTAGAAATAGTTCCTCGTGCTTTGTGTAGTAACGGTTTACTAAGCTTATGTATTTTAAAACTAATCTAATATAAATGCGATAATGGGTTTGTTCGTCTTTATTTCACGTAGCAATAGAGTGTTTTTAAATAAACAGAGGCGGTTTTCAAGTCGAGTACATAATAATAAGTCTACACATACCTTTTACATAGTAAACCAATTATAATTGTTACACCTAAAGGTAGTTATGATGCTGTAAAGACATAGGTTAAAGCTATTTCATATATCATTTATCATTTCTTCCACAGACAACTGGTATATTTAAAACACAAACCTAATGTAACATCCTGCATTTATTCCTAAATATTTATTTATTTATTTATTTATGTTTTTGTTTTATATTTGTCTTTTATATATGTAGGCAGATGCATGCTTACAGAATTTTTATTTACAAAAAAAAATCTCTAATTCATTCCGTTTTACAATGATATACCACTATCAACGACACATAACATAACATAACATCACGCCTTTTATCCTCGAAGGTGTAGGCAGAGATGCACATTATGCCACTGTACAATGTTTAGGGAACAGAGAGTATAGGTCCCTAAGATCGGAAAAAGAGGATCCTCCGACCAGGCGAGGTGATCGTGCCTGGCGGGCCTTCTGCCAGGCACGATCTGCGACAGTTGATCGTTGGGATTTTCTATCCGTGTAAATTTTGCATGTAAACTTTGCATGTGCGATGTAGGATTTTTGTGACGTCATCCGTTGACATGTACCATGTGTCGCCACAAATGTAACACCTACTTTTCACTATCAACGACTGTAAAACAAATTTAGAACCTTAATCAACAAAGAGACAATGACCTCTGAGTTTGTTTCGGCGTTTCTTCTCAGAATAGTAAAATAGTTAGTTAGAAAATGCTGGCCTTCATCTAGTATTTTAAGGATTGACGTATAAAAGTGTTACTTTGTAACCGATTTGCAAAAATAAATATCATTTTATTTCATAACTAGCTGAGCGACTTCGTCCTCGTGGAATAGTGATTCACAGCTCCTCCCCCGTAGTTAATAACATAATAATATGTAGCCTATATGTTGACCCTACCTGTTAGTAATATTCATGCAAGAAGTAAATCCATGCAGCACTTTTTGAGTTCATCCCGGACATACATACAGACAAACAGACATAGATTCTAAAAATAATATTTTTGGTTTCGGTATCGATTGTAGATCACGTCCCAAGCATTCTTTAAAACAGATATTTAATGTACAGTTTTCACTTTCCTACTATTTTATTATATGTATATATAGACTAGCTACTTTCACGCGGTTTCACACGCTCTGCTCAGCTCCTATTGGTTGTAGCGTAATGTTTTATAGCCTATAGCCATCCTCGATAAATGCGCTATCCAACACAAAAATAATTATTCAAATCAGACTTGTAGTTACGGAGATTTGCGCATTCAAACAAACAAACAAAAAAATCAAACTCTTTCGCTTTATATAATAGTATAAGATATAAAATTTCATAATTTCATTTCATTTCAATTACGACTCTAACTTCTGATTAACACTGCTAGAAAACTTATTAGATCCCATTTCATGACAAGTTATTTGCGTACTCATATCACCTGACATTTACTTGCTCTTTCAATCACGGTACAATCACCTACACATATATATAATATAAATATAATTCGAGACGATCTGTTTAATTTCTTTGTACAGAACAAACTTTGCCCCATAGGCAAATGGAAGTAGTTATCAAAAGTTCAGATATGATACAGTGGGGTACTATAAATAGCGGACAGCGCTGTATAGTAACAATATGTGTTATAAATACGTATGTACACTTATAATATATCAGTTATCTATATTACTATGTCTGCCTCGTTGGCCGAGTGGCCGCAAGTGCGACGTGCAAGTACCAAACAAGGGGTTTCTGGTTCCGTGTCCAGATCGGGCAAAGTACTACTGGGTTTTTTAAAATATAATTCTCAGTAGTAGCACGGAGTGTGGAATTGTGCCCGGTATATATAGCAATAGGCTCACCCCCTATTACATGGGACTCATAACATAAATAGTGAAAAGTGGGTGTTACATTGCATAGTGGCATTAAGTGCCGTAATGTACATCTCTGCCTACCCCTTCGGGCATAAAAGCCGTGATGTTATGTTATGCTATATTGCTATATTTCTATACCATAGCTAATGTATTATAAAGCTAAATGCAGCCTCACAAAAAATGGACATGAAGCAACGCATGCGTTGTATTTCGTGGTTCGAGTGGGGTTAGCGGAGGCCCAACCCCCCCCCCCTCCCCCTATCTACCCAATCCCAGCAATCCTCAAACTCCTAATCCCCAAAAGGCCGGTAAACGCACTTGTAACGCCTCTGGTGTTCCAGGTGTTCATGGGCGACACCGATTGCTTACCATCAGGTGATGCGTCTGCCGGTTTACCGGCTTATCCCATAAAAAAGAATTCTAATATTATAATAGGTACCTAAATCACAGTTCTAATTACCATAACACGAAACCCTCACCTAAATATCAAAGTATCCGCTAGCCAAACATTCGGACCAAACATTCCAACTTTCACACCTTCCCTTTAAAGTTATTCCATTAGTCGACGACCGCCTAAAACGGGGAAACGTCCTTAATAAATAACATCGACGTCCACTCAAGACGTTTGTATATACAGACGTATATATGAAGGTATGTCTGTATATACGATATACTTCCATCATGATGCTTTTATCTCTCGCGAGGTCAAGGGGCCCGGCTCAAAGCTGGGCCGGCCCTAACCTATCCACGTGGTTCAAGTGGCCTCCCCTACTCACTTATCATCACGACATTCCCTCTTGAGGTTAGAAAAACGGTTACTCTATATTTAATACGGAATGTGGAACGTGCGGACTGAAGGACCGCGTTTGATGTCATTTTGAGATGTTATTTCTGGATGCTTAGTATTTGTTCTTTAAAAAATTTTAGGTAATTATTTATTGTTGTTACTCAATTTTTATGATGTTCGCGTATTAAAGAACTCTAACTTGAGCTGATTCAATATAACTTGTACTTTATGCTTTAAAGTTTTTTCGTTATCAGTTATAAACATAAATAACGATAAGGTGGAACCATTTTCAATAAATATTCGTTATCTTAATTATTTTAATAATTATTGAGTTCGATTTTTTTTTAGACTGTATCGTTGTTTTATTACGTATCTGTACGTGTATTTACAATTTTGTTCAGATTTATAACCAGTCATAACAATTTAGATAATAATTGGATCACAAAACGTCCAGGGGTTATGTGATAAAACGATTTGTCGATAAC